TAACACAAGTACAGACATTTGCATCTTCATAATCCAGAACCCAGCTATCATTTGCATGCAGCTTACTAAGCAGGAGACTTTCTGGGAAGTATAGAGAAGTATAACTATCCCAGGAACTGTCCTCGACTACTAAGACCTGGGGACAGAATCATAGTATGATGTGGCACACCCTTACCAGTATATAAATCATGATATTCTGTAGAATAATATATCCGACACAACAGATTTTCTTTAGGAATACCCCTGTTTAGTAATGTTATTCCTATTACAGCCTAATCGGCATCTCCGAGTCCTGCCCTTAAAGCAGAACTCCGGGCAAAAGTGTTTTGTAACCCTCGGCAGTGGGGCTACCTCCGCAGTACAAGGGTTAAGTGTTTTTTTTTGTCTACGTGCTAAAATTAAAGATAAAAAGGTGATACACAACCAAACTGCAGACCTGGCTGGCTGTTACTCCAGTCCCTGAAGCCTGTGACCTCCTCTGCTGCAGCGATGGTATGTCCCTCTGCCTCCTCACATACTATAGAATGTGATTACTCAAGGATCTTTAGACTGCTGGAGCAGAGGGAGAGAGGCTCCAAGGACCAGCCTAAGAGCAAGCCAGGTGAGTATCTTTTTTAGCACCTAGACAAAAGCAAGCACTTAAACCTTGCATTGCCGGGGGAAGCCCCACTGCAAGGGTTAAGAAAACTTTTGCCCGGAATTCTGCTTTGAAAATCAGTTTCAGGCAAAAAGTGAAAGTTTTCAGTAAAGCTGGCCATACAGTGCTTGGCCGAAATTCAAAGCGTGTAACCCTGCTGGCATCACCAGGCTTGACAAAAGTCGATTACTCAATCCACATTTCTCAAAGGAGCCAGGTGGAAAATTGTCTGTCATTGTCAACTGCAGTAATTGTTTGTGTATTCTAACAGCAGCAGGCGCTGGCTGTCAGAGTACAATAGCCCAGCAGGGAAGATTACTGCCTCCCGCAGGCTTAACAAAATAAATCGATTAGGGTATGGCTAGATGAGGCTATTAATGCTTTGTAGTAAAAATTGTAAATATGTAAATGCCAGAAAGTTCACTTAATTTACTGCAAACAGAGTTCTCCCCGAAACACCCTCATGCAGTTAATGTGCAGTGTACTTCTTGAAACCTTTGCTGCGCAACTTCCTCTCTCACCAACCCAAATGTCAATGAACTAGGGCTGCACCCAACTAATCGAAAATGAGAATAGTTGTCAACTGTTCTCATTATCGATTAGTTGGTTGGCTCTGCTAGCTCTCTCCTCCATTCTTAGAGGAGGGCACAGCAAGCAGTGGGTGGGTGCAACAGCCAGTCTGCTATTGGCTATTGCAATCTGAAATGGCCAATAGCAGGCTGGCTATTGCACCAGCCCACTACCAGCTGCATTTACATTCAGCTGCCGTCTGCAGAATGTTGCTACTGGCAGCTGTCATTCCCTGGCTGAAGCTACAATACAATTAGTAAAAAATAAACGATAAAGGTGGGGAAAAAATCATTTTCGGTTTCAGCCTGACAAATTTTTCTGCGGGAGGTACGTTGCAGTGCCATTTATTTCAATGGCACCCCAAACGTGCCTCCCACCCACAGTGTTATTGCCCGCACTGGAACGCACAATACTGGAATGCCGCGCATTCCAGTGCAGTGCAATTGCAAAATAATTGTGCATGCAGTTTTACTCAGAAGTAAACTTTATGTTTGTAACACTGCATCTGTATATTTTATTTTAATTTAAGGACGGGATTGAATTTTTTTATCAAATTAAATTGAAATAATTATCAGCCAACTAATCGATTATTAAAATAATCACTAGTTGCAGCCCTAGAATGAACACAATAGTGCCATTAGAACCAGTGGGAGGAACAACAGAGCACAGAGGGGGACTCAGTTATCCGACACACCCAGAAGAGCGAAGATTCCATGAACAGGCACTGGACTAGGTATGTAGAACATTCTTCGTTTACAGGAGCTTTTGAGGTTGTTTTTGTTTTTTATATAGCAAAAGGGTCCTTAATACAGAGTGTCTAATTTATGTAATCTGGATAATATTGCCATACAAAGACTGGATTTTGTAGTATATAATCATGTAAAAAGTAAGTACACCCTTGAAGACTTTTCCCATGGTGTGCCATGGAAAAGATAAGTACATCCTTGGCCTTTAGAAGCTGGTGTTGCCACTCTTTTAGCAGAAATTGTTTCCTGTAGCCCTTGTGGATAACTGTCCACCAGTCTCTGAAATCGACTGAAATTTTTGACCATTCCCTCATAAAAAATTAATTCAGTTTCCAGATGTTTATGGATGTGCGTGCATAAACAGCCCCTTTCTAATACTCCCAAAATATTTGAATGGACTTTGATTAGGCTAGTCCGTATCACTCCATTTCTTCTTTCTGAGCCATTCCATGGAGTATTTGCAAGTGTGCTTCAATATGATGCAGAATGTATTTAACCAGCCATGTCAACAACAAAGAACAATTGATAGGTTACAGAAGAGTACTGGTAATATGAAGAGGCAAAGTCAACAATTTCCATTGGGTGCACTTACTTTTTTTTTCACATGACTGTATGTTGTCACTTTGCAACCACTGCTCCTTTCTTCTGCATGTTCCAAACTATCACACAAATTCCAAATATTGAATACATGGTTGATCACATTGCTTACAGATCTGGCTGCCCCTATGGCCACCATTTGATCTTAAAACAAGGAACTGTTAAAGTCAATGTCCACCTTTGTAAGTGATTAGCATTTATTGTGGTAATGAAGAGGTGCAGGACGATGTATAGTGCAGATTTTACTGATTTAAAGGCTTTTTTTTATTTTTGTATGAAATTTTTAATAGGCCTGAATCCTAGAAATTTACTCCACAGGAAATTCAGTCTGACACCGGGGTCGGGTTGTAAAGCAGGCTGTTAACAGCTGCCCCCCTCCCTGTGATTCTGTGTAACACCAGCTTTGCCTTTACACACAATACACTGTCCAGGTGGGGTGCTACTATGCATACTAATGAATGCAGGGAGAGAACTCAGTTGTAACTTACACATATTGCTTGCAAAGCACAGAGGTGCCCATTTCCATGAGAATATGTAGAGGAAAGCTGTGTATTTCTGTTCATATACAGCAACTGCATATGCCTGCTTCATGTTCACTCGGTGTACATTGGTGGCATATGTTTTTATAAAATACCTCTGCAGAGGTAGAAAGGGAAAGCAGTGGCATGTTTTTATCATACTGCCCTCCCAGTATATTGAACTACAGATTTGATGTGTATCAGATGTGTAACTAAAACCAAGACACCCACAAAACATACATATAGAACATGCTGTATATATCTATAATTTTAGTATAAATAAAATTAGACAAGGTCACATGGTGACAATGACTGAAGAAAATAAGTTTGTCGCCTTTTAATTGTGGAAGTGTTAACAGGACTGCTATTTTTTGCTTTGCACTGGCTATCTTATCAGAAGGAAGCTGTCCTCGCAAAAAAGAAAAGCATTATTTATAACAGGAAACCAGCTGGTCTGTATGTCATTTTACCACGTTCACAATGTATATTTATACAGGTCTAAGTGTATTCCCTTTTCCCTCTACAATCTTCATTGTATTTTGTAGGTGGCTTAGTGGACTATTAAGGGTCCACTGATTATCTACATCTAAGTATGTGAAACCTGAATATCATGTGTAAGCCGGATCACTTTGACCTTAACAAAAATTCTCAAAAAGAGGATTTAATTTTAAAACACGAGGCAGACTACAACTCAAAATAGTGAAAAATATTAAACAGCCAAGTCCGGATGGAACGGTCAGAAAAGATAATGATAGTGCACATAGTTTTATATTAGATAGCGTTCACTGTTTCCTGTCATTTTAACACTGAGTGGAAAAAGGCTAAACCAGTTGTGAGCTGTCACAATGTCTCATCTATATTCAACCCACTTAATAAAAACAAGATTTCCCAAAAATAATTTACACTCATCCTCATAGTTAGAACTGACGTGCGACATTGAAACTGACACACGTCGACTTTATAGTTCGGGAAGTGAGCGAACATATATCGTTGCTCACTCACTTCTGATCATCTTCGTGCAGAGAGCGGTGACCGTCAGTCACCGCTGCCCGCAGGGATTCCCGCCTCCCTTCTCCTATCCTCCTGCGCTGACTGGAGGAATGGATGAGGGAGGGCAGAGCTGGCTCTGCCTCTAGATAGACAGAGCCCTCTGTCAATGAGCCAGCTGGGTAGATCCAGACAGTATTGTCGGGATCCGTGCTGGCTGTGGTGCCCTCAGTATATAAACAGGAAATAGCCCGCTATATACTGAGCTTTGGGTTACGGGAGGACGTTAGTATAAGAGGACTATGGGATAAAAAGATTACCCCATAGTTCTCTTTTCAAGACAACGTGACACTGAACTCAGGATGTTGCATTTAAGTACCTTAACTATTAACAAAAATGTATCTGATTTGTGTATCACTCAGCTGTAGATCCTCAAATCATCTCTGAATTTGTGGTCCATGGTCCTTGTGTGTGTTGTAAAGTAGCCACCACTCGGAGCTCACTCCTGTGATAGAATATAACTTCAAATTAAATAATACAAATTAGTAAGCTAGACACGAGATTGTAGTCCATCATGGGAGTGAGCTTTGAGCGGTGGCTACTTCGAAACACACACATGGATCATGGGGAACAAAAGTAGCCACCCTCCAGAAGAAAGGACAGTGTCGGCACCAATTCAGAGATTATTTGAGGATGTACAGCCGAGTGATACACAAATAAGATACATTTATGTTAATAGTTAAGGTACTTGAATGCATTTTTAAGATTTAGCTCATGAGTTTAGTGTCACTTTAAGGTCATGTTGAGCCTTTTAATTAAGCTCCAAACATATTAAACCTAACACTAATCTAACCCTTCAACTAATACCAAACACTAAACACTGTGGAAATTGCAGTTATTGTATAAAATAATGCATAAACAAAATATGAAAAAAGGGCAGCTTACCTTTTAATGACCATTTTTAACGTCTTATGTGATCCTTTCACCAGACAGATTGCCTCTTGCCGATAACCTGAGAGCGGTATATCATTTATATTGACAATTTCATCTCCTGCTATTAAGGTCTCAGCAGCTTTACTCCCTTCTTCAACCTGAAACACAAAATCGAATAGTAACAGTCATTAAAATGATTACGATCATACTAAGATTCCAATGAGTAATGAAATCTATTGACATACAATAGTTTAGTGATGTCCCAGTTTATCTACACTAAAAGCATAAGTCCAGCCAAAACATTTTCTTTAAGCTTTTGGTTAGGTGGAGAAGGGATAGAACCTTTGTTGGATTTTTATTGCTGTAGGAATGTAGGAACCTTTGGAGATCTTAACCTTACTCAGCAAAAGTCTTTATTTCTCCTATTGGGCTTTGCCCACATTAAAGGAGAACTATGGGGGGTCAGTGTTTTTCCCCATAGTTCTCCTTAGGGTAACGGGAGGACACAAACTAGCGTCCTTCCGTTACCCTAAGCTCAGTATACCGCGAGCTACAGCTTGCGGTATACTGAGACGCCGCAGCGGATCCAGACGTAGATGACGGGATCCGCCCAGCTGCGTGAGTGACAGCTGGCTCTGCCTATCTAGAGGCAGAGCCAGCTGTACCCGCCCCCTCCCCTGTCCGTTCCACTAGTCAGCGCTGGCAGATCGGAGCGGGGAGAGGGGAATCCAGCCCTCCCCCTGTCACGGCAGAGAGCCGTGACAGGATCGAGAGGTGAGCGAACCTGGTATGTGTTCGCTCACCTCCCGATCTACTGAGCTGACCTGTGACAGTCTCATTGTCACAGGTCGGCTAGAACTATGAGGTGAGTGGAAATCACTCATCTCATAGTTCTCCTTTAATGAGATTTCTCCTCACTTCATATTTCAGTAACCACTGTCACTGAAATAGGGAATTTTCCCCATCGGGGACAGTGACATCAGTAAAAACTTTGCAGAAGATCTATGCCAGACGTTGGCAACTCTGGCCCTCAAGCTGTGCTATAACTACAAATAACTGTCAGGGTCTTGCAATGCTTAATGGGACGTGTAGTTCTGCAACAGCTAAAGGACTTAAGTTGCCCACCCCTGAACTAAGCCAAACTTTATCCCAAAGAAAACAATTGTTGGCTCCATTGTAAGACCTGTTAAATGTTACACATACAGAAAAACAGATATTAATCTGTGTTCTGTTGCTAAAATTTTTTTTATTGTATTAAGCTGTATCAAAAGCCATATTGTTCTTCCATTTTTGGAGTAAGAGGAAATCTTAAAGTAAGGGAAATCCCCTCAGATAGTTGCCACCACAACAAATACCCCTGCTGGAAGGTTTCCCCTCTATTTATTTTAGTTAGAATTCAAAAATTGAATTTTCCCTCATTTTTAGCCCAGGTGATGAATAATAAAATTAAATCCCTCCAGCAGGTAAACGGAGGACAAACAAAAAAAAAAGAAAAGGTCCCTACCCTACTGCAAAAAATGGCTTTAGATTTGCTTTACAAATGTAAAAGATTCATAGACAACATAATCTGGCTACTGGAATGACATTGTCTAATGGGTAAACAGCTGATATAAGCCGCACAAGGAGTGCATTGTTTTCCACAAGTCAGACACCTCACACCAATAGAATAGCTGGCAGATGGGATTTCTCCATCCATGCTGTTTACCATGGATGGGGTGTATATCGATGGATTTCTCTTGTTCATCCAGTTGGAACGAATGAAAGAAATTCAAAGAGTCTATGGCCAGCTTAACAAAATGCAACACAAAATACGTCCGCCTATTAAATCATTTTTGCAGTAAAACTGGCGTTTCCATGTTCTTCGTGTAGAAATGAGCCCGTAAGGACATCAGTTGTCTATTTTTATACAGCTATCATGTCCTTGACAGGAACCCTTCATCTCTGACTACCACATACACTTGTGGCCTAATCTTGTTATCCATCTTCCAACATATTTAGAGCACTTAGACCCCTCCACTGGGAATTCCACCTCCTGCAGAGTTTTATGATTACAGCAAAGAATAAATGTTTAAAACTACAACAAGCTCATGGCAAGGTTCTGACTAGTCACCACTGGCTCAGACCATGCCCGAAACAGTTTATAGTTATGGTTATCTTTGGATCATATTTTGATCTAGACCTATTTGTACACAAAGATAGGAGTCCTATCCAATTCACCTTCCTGGTATCATTCCCTTGTAGTTCAAACACACATTTCCACACCTACTACCTATGAAACTGTATTCTACCATACAATTATTTTTGTCTGAACACACTAGTGCAGTGAAATATGGTGTGTTGCAGTGCCATTCATTTTAAATTGTGTACTAAAGGTGCCCATACACCTGACGATTATCGTACGATAATCACGGGTGATCCCGCAATCGTACGATAATAGGCAGGTGTAAGGGCAGCGTGTGACCGCATTTACTGTACGGTCGCACGACCTTCGTCTTACGAGTACGCTAGAAAACCCGCCGATTTTCGGCGGGTTGGTAGCGCGATCTGAAGATGAAAGCCGCATGAGCCGGTGTGCGCAAGCGCACACTGCCCGCTCAGCATTGCAATCATCGTCAAGACCTCCCCTCAGTGGGGAGGGCTTGCAATGATCACAAGTACGATATGCCTGTCCAAGATGGGCAGTTCGTACGGAATTGTAATCACCTTACAACCATAGCACAACGAAAGTCGTGCGATGGTTGTAAGGTGTATGGGCAGCTTAACACAACGCACAGATGGGAACTGTGCATTGAAGAAAATACACAAATCTGGGTTAATGTGCATTGTGGTGTGTTGGCATTTTTCATGGGTTGCCTTAACACGACACGTGCAAAATACAGCACGTTTAGGTGATGTGGTTAAAAACAGCAAGGCATTGGAACAGTGTGGAGGGTCCTAAAATATCTCTCGGCCTTCACATATTATTTTGTTGCCACTTGCCTTACAAAGTGATTTGCAGACTCTTGAATGTTACTGAATAAAACAAACCACATATTTTCACTTAAAGTGATATTAAAATCAAAATTTTCTAAACTATTGCAAATGTTGATAAAATCACTTACAATGGATGCTGCTCCTTGAGGTTTAAACATATTAGCTTGCTGCAGAATCAGCTGGTCCCCTGAGCACTGGTCTGAATGTCCGGTTTTAGGGTGGCTCCTTTCCCTTGCAGGGTCTTATGGAGCCACCCTTGTGTGTGCTATTAAGCTGTGTGCGTCTCCACAAACCCACAAGCACAGCAAGGCACTGCCCTGCTCCCTTCTCCTCCTTCCATCTACCTGCTAGTAGATAAACAGCTGCTGAAGACTGTGCTGTCCTTTGGGATCTGGTTCTGGACAGGAGGTTCAGGGAAGCCGAGCTGACAGAGTTGGAGCCAGCTGAATGGAAATACTGTATCATGATTGTAAGTGCTTGGACAAAAATGTAAAGAAATACTTTGCTGTGGTTAACTACTAGAATATTTTAGTTTGAAGACCAATATGAAATGTGTAAAATAGACCAAAAGGCTTCTGTGTGTGATGTCTTCTCTTTCTCAATGTTTTCTCTCTAGGTTGACACTATTCTGGAGTGATAGGCTCAAAAACTGTAGAACAAGCCCCCGCTGATCTTCCAAAGCAATTCAAACTTTATTCCACATGCATCTATACAAAGACCAACTGCTAATGCGTTTCTGCCTTACTCGGTCTTAGTCATAGCTCTGACTAAGAAATGTGTCAGCGGTTGTTCTTTGTATAGATGCATGTGGAATAAAGTTTGAATTGCTTTGGAAAATCATCGTGTGCTGGTTCTATCATTTTTGAGCCTATCACTCCAGAATAGTGTCATCCATGCACCGAGTGTGGATTGCAAGGATGGATGATAGGAGTGAGCTGTGCGCTTTATGTTTTTAGTTTTCGCTCTAGATTGCCAGGAGGTCAGCAATGGCCACCAATGTATCTCTAACGGTAGCATTCTTTTAGAGACCAACTAGGAAAATCAAGCAGTGATCTGCACATGATATATCTATTTGAGAAAGAGGTGCCCTGAGACACCATGATGGTTGCCATGCAGCATTCCATACCAATTTGCAGGTAGCCTTTTTCAGAACACGGCTTTCAAGGATTTGCTGACCTATATGTATGCGTGTTTTGCTTATGTGTTGTAATAGTAATAATAATAATAATAATAATTTGCTACGTAGAGAGCCGCCGGATACCTGTCCGGTGCTATGCGGCAGCCAGCAAGTCCCACCATCTATGCACAGGGACTGTGCTGGGCCCCCCCAGGCTGAGGCCTCTCACTTCCGGGAACCTCGCGCCCGACAGACTCGCTCAGAAGCAAGTGAGGGAAGCAGGGACTTAGGATATACCTGCCCCCCTCACCATTCTACAGTTTTGCAGCGCCAGGATCGGAGGTAAGAGATGCGATGTAGAGGAGGGCCTAGACTAACAAGCTAGCATGTAAAAAAACTAAGGTTAAAAACAGAGGTTTGGATACACGTCCTAGCTCTAAACTATGAGAGCCTCCATCTTGGAGCACATGGGTCAGAAGATAAAATTGGGTGCAGGTCTGTCAGGAGGAAGCCCAACCCCCCTTAACCAGTTGACATCCGCGGTGTTAAACCCCCTTCCCATCCAGGCACGGGGCTGTGGAGATGTGATTGGAGAAGGGGGGGCCGCAGAGATGTGATTGGAGAAGGGCGGACTGAGGACATGTAATTGGAGAAGGGGGTCTTTAGATAAGTGATTGGAGGAGGAGGGGCGGCTGCAGAGATGGGAAGGGACCATGATTTGAGAGGGCAGGGGAAAGGTGATGGGAGGTGCAGGAAATTTGTGATGGAAGGGATGCTGGAGTTGGGGGAGAGGTGCAGGGGGGACCGTAGTGATGGGAGAATCCAGGGGGCATATGAAGATAGCGGAAAGAACAGAGGGCATGAGAGAGATGGGGGAGAAAACAGGCATATCTCCTAAACCTACAGGGGTCATTTATAGGTTTAAGAGATATGCATCTTCAATCTATAGAAAATAAAAATGAACCTGTCCCCATTTATTTAAGTGTAATAATTATCTAAAATGCTTTAACATTCATCCTAATATTTAGGAAAATCTACTGCTCTTTTTAAGAAGATCTCCAGAGTTGT